GGTTTTAAATAGGAGGGTACGACGATGTGATTTAAATTTAAGGAGATACCCAGGTTCCCACTTCACCTCTGGCCCATTCTAAGATGTCAGAAAATAGAGGTCTTACTGCCTTATTCCAACCCCTGGTAGAGAGCCCAGAATATAGTAGGTGCCAAGTACATGTTTATTGGATGAATAAATAAAATGAACATACTGGTCCATCCTTCCAGTAATTTATGTGATAATTGTGCAGTGATGCAATGGTCTGTGTTTCCTTCAGACCAAGTATTAACTCTCTGATTGTCACTGCTTTAGGTCAAAGACCTGGCTTCAAGTACTGGTATGACAAGGAGTGGTTGAGCAGGGGACATATGCATGGCCTGGCATTTTTGGAAGAGAATTACTCCCACCAGAATGCCAAGAAGATTGTGGCCACCCACCAGCTTCTCGGAGATGTGCAGAGAGTGATCGAGGTTCTGCATGGCCTCCAGCTCAAGATGAGCATCTTGCAGTAAGTGTGGCACCTCCAGCTTTGGGGAGGAGTCTGATTTGACATGGTCTGGTGGGGGAGGGGGCGCAAGATAAATTTGAGATTGGAAAGCCACAAAATCAGTAATAAGACCAATGAGTTTGAGACTTTTACTAAAAAATTTTCAGCTATGTCTCACGCTTTTGGCGAAGATCAAGTGTAGTGTCTGTTCTTAGTAGTTTATTTTTTTATTTTTTAAAGATTTTATTTATTCATGAGAAACACACAGAGAGAGGCAGAGACATAGGCAGAGGGAGAAGCAGTTTCCATGCAGGGAGCCTGATGTGGGACTCCATCCTGAGACTCCAGGTCATGCCCTGAGCTGAAGGCAGGCGCTTAACCGCTGAGCCACCCAGGCATCCCTGTTCTTAGCAGTTTTATATCTGATACATCCTCTGTCTGAGGACAATATATTATTATTTTTTTTAAAAGATTTTTTTTATTTATTCATGAGAGACACAGACAGAGGGAGAAGCAGGCTCCATGCAGAGAGCCCAACGTGGAACTCGATCCCTGGTCTCCAGGATCATGCCCTGGGCTGAAGGCAAAGCGCTAAACCACTGAGCCACCCAGGCTGCCCTGAGGACAATATATTAAATGGATTTTGGAACTAGATGTAATAGGAGCTTGTTCCAGCCACTCCATGCATTGACCTGATAATTGTAGTATTTCCAGGAATGTTGCACCCCCTTGGGTGGAAAATGTCAGTTACATGATAAACATTAAAAAAAAAAAATGAACCTTATTCAGGTAGAATTTATATATAATTAAGTTTACTCATTTTACGGGTTCATTGAGTTTGGACAAATGTATTCACCCTAGTAACCACCACCATAATGAAAATACGGTGTATGCATTTATAGTTTAGTTTATGTATTGTTCTGGGTACAGTTCTGAAGTTTTTTTATTGTGGTAAATAAAATATGCATAATATGAAATTTATGTTTTATAAAGAGTCTTACATGTTTTTAATATATAGTTCAGTAGTGTTAAATACATTTATCTTGTTGAAACCAATCTCCTTAACTCTTCATCTTGCAGAACTGCAACTCTGATTTTGTTAAACAACTACTTTCCATTTTGCTTCCTCCCTGCCTCTGGGGACCACCATTCTGCTGTGTTTCTATGAAACTGACTACTCTAAATGCCTCATATAAATAGGATCCCACAGCATCTGTCTTCTTTGTTATTATTTCAACTCACTTAGCATAGTATCTTCAAAAATTCATCTGTAGTATGGCCTGTGTCTGAATTTCCCTTTTTAAAGGCTAAATAATCATCTGTTACAGGTAATGCTGCATTTTGTTGCTCTGTTCATCCTTAACACCCTTTACAGTAAACAAAGTAAGATTAAAAGCTGCTGGAAGAGATAATATTGGCAGGCCTGCTCTCCAGCCTAATAGTTGCTCAAAAGTCTTTCTCTTAATGGTTTGCTTATGCAAAGAATTTTAAGTGTTCTGGAACTGGACTTCTGACTTTTAGTGGCTAGAAGTTTGAGGAGTGAAATTGAGTGTGAATTCCCCTTTCATGGTTGCATTCTATGTGTCAGATGACCCAAGTTCACGTAAGTTCTGAGAAAGACATGTAGCTCTTATTGGGGTCTCTTGGCTTTTGTAACCTACTCCCATTTTACCAAATAGGAGATCTGAAGCCTTATATGAGGCAGTTGCTCTCCCATGATTACCAGGGGTAGAATCCGGTCTAGAACCCCAGGCCTGGCTCCTATCAAGTATTTATCCTCACCTTTCTAACTTCCTCTCAGTGTTCCATGCATTTTCTTTTGGTATCAGCACAGCTTGTGTCCGGGACAGCTTCTCTTGCGTAAAAATTGCTAAAATTTTTCCATGAGCCTGTTCATAAGGCTTAGTTAAGTCATCAACAATGACAAACTAGTGCTGTGAGGGAGTTAGACATGACAGACCACTCCCCAGCAAGATTTCCTTTGTGTAAGTTAGTCCTGGAGGCCCCTCAGCAGCAGGCTCAGTGTCAGAGCCCTGGGATGGTGGAACGGGGGTTTTGCTTTCTCTTGCATTCTTGTGCATATAGGCCTGGTGGCTTCAAGAACTGGCAGGACAAGGAGTGTTTGAGCAAGGTATATATATCAGACATGGTATATATATTGGTTTGGGTATAGGCTAAGGTACTGTAACAAAGACCCAAAAAATAGAGGCTAAAAAAAAAAAAAAAGAAATATTCTTTGTCACATAATGAATGGTCCATGGGTAGTAAGGGATCCAGGCTAGGCAGATGGCCTTTTTTCCAGGATTCCACCTGTGGCCTTGGGGACTTGGGTTCCTTCTGTCCTATGGCTCTGGCATTCCATTGGGGTTCTTCTCACCTGTGTGGTTGAAACAGCCTCACTGTACCTCAACTGTTCCAGCCCCCAGGTGGGGGAAAAGAGAAACGGGAAAGCAGGCAGCCTTCGTGAACACACCTGACTGAAGAGAAGGCTATCCATGTGCTCTGTTTGAACCCAGGAGTAGGGAAGGAGGTGGGTATAAGAGAAGGGGAAGATAGTTGCTGGGGAAGTTAGCTGTCACTGTGACAATATCTGTCGAAGTGAACTGAATCAAGTGATAGCCCTGGATAAGGTATCAGAGGTAAACTTGGGGCACCTGAGTGGCTCAGTTGTTAAGTGTCTGACTCTTGATTTTGGCTCAGGTCATGATCTCGGGGTCGTGAGATTAAACCCCATGTCAGGCTCTGTGCTCAGTGGGGAGTGTCCTTGAGATTCTTTCTCCCTCTGCCCTTACCCCCTTCACTGGTGAGCACTCTCTCTCTCTGTCAAATAAATCTTTAAAATATGTCAGAGACAAGCTTTTCCTCACATTTTATAAAATCAGAAAACTTTATCCTAAATTAATTTCTTCTTAATGAGATGCCAGAAATTGAAGCTGGTAGAAGGTGGTCTGTGTAAGGGCCGGGAAAAACCTCAGGTGATGCTCATGATTGTAAACTCTGCTTTATTTCTTTTCATTTGAGGATGCATTCGGGTGGTGTTTTCTTTTTTCTTACTGAAATACCAGTGCTCCTGGCTCTATCCCATGTTCTGGAACCTTTTCTCTTCTGAATCCTCCTTTAGGTGCTTCCTCTTTATAGCATTGACTTTGTAGTGGAATTAAATCTGACTTTTCCTAGCAATTCAGATGAAGGTATAGGGAGATCTTGTTCATCATTATATGTGGAGAAAAGATCCTGGTGGGGTGGGGGGGTTGGTCCCATTATGTCTGTGTACACGAGTAGTCTCTGTTGTCACAAGTTCTGGGTCCTCATTCTCAGAAATGCTGTTCCTAAGTGGCTTGGCGGGTTTATTTTCAAAGGCAAACTATAACTGGTAGTAACCTCAGAGCATCTATTGTCATTTAAAAAGTAGCATATGTGGTTGTACATTCTTTCTTCATAAAGGCCAGGAAGTTATCTTTGTGTGGAGTAGTAGCTGGGGCTTCAGGTATTACCTAGGAGGGCAAAGATTCTAGGAAGGGGGAAGCAAAGACTTGTGATTTTCACGCAAGAGAAGGTCCATACTGGGGCCTATATGCTCCAGTTAACAGATTTCAGACTATAGTAAACCTGAAAGTTAACAATGACTCTCACTTCCCCTGATTCAGAGGGATGTCTGGCATCTTGTATTCCTGGTACAGATTGTGATACCCTACCAGCAGTGGTCCAGGGACCTACTGCCTTGATTTTGTTGTTTCCTGTCCTTCTCCAGTGGACAGGAGGGGTTGTTGGTGATCGGTGGAGAGGGCGAGCTAAGAAAGGACACTTGTAGCCCTTTGAGAGCAGAATTTTAGGTTCTGTAAGATCACTCCATGCTTTCACATATGGCCTATTCCATTTGTGCAGGACAGCTTCAATCAAGTGTATGTGGAGGGGTACCCATATATGGGGGTTACTGGTGAGTAAGCTTGTGCTTTCAGTGTATTTCAGCTGGAGGCTGGAAAGGTGCTATCGACTGTATCATGGGATGATTCTTCTTTATCTCAATCACATGGGATTGTTCCAAGCATCATAGGATGTTAGGCATCCTTGGATTCAGTGAACTAAATGCCAGTAGTATCCGTCAGTCATTGTGGCAATTAGAAGGGTCCCTACACATTTCTGAGGGTCTCTGAACCGAATGTGAGTAGCACCTGTCTCTTTCCAAACACCCCCTAGAGGGCACTGCGCTCCCAGCGAGGAACTCTGGTAACTGATAGGCCTTACTCCAGAAGCCCACTTTTTTTTCTTCCCTCCCTCCCTTCCTTTTTTCCTTCTTTAAATTTAATGATCAAAAGTAATAGTGGAAGTTTTGGATAGTACAGAAGAGTTAAAAGGTGAAGTTTATCTAGGGTAGCTTTTAAACTGAATAAAATGTATATCCCACAGTGAGAAATATGTTTTATATTCCTCACATATATAAAACTGAAACTAAAATTTCAGTCACTGTTACTTAGAATGGTACAGTCAGATATTTCCTATTCTCTTTTTCCTTTTTCTACAATTGATTATGGTGTTCGCTTCAGCAGCACAGAGACTAAAATTGTAACAATACAGAGAAGATCAGCATGGCCCTGTGCAAGGATGATGCACAAATTCGTGGAGCATTACAAATGATCACGAGCCAGTAGATTAATATAATGATCCTCCATTGGGTCAAAACTCAAACAGTGAATGATTCTGGGAAACTAAGGTGTTAACACAGTTTAATGTGCACATATTTATAAGCAGAGCTTTCAACAGATTCTCAAAGGAGTCTATGGCTCAAAAAGGGATTAGAATCCTTGTTCTTTAGTAACAAAGTTTCCTCCTTGGAATGGTGAGAGTAAAAGATTTTAGAACAATTTAAAAAATATTTGATTAATGGCTTATATGTAGGTGACTTTGATTCCTGCCCCCTTGACCCATTGTCATTGCATTTTTAAAAAGATTTTATTCATTTGAGAGAGAGAATGAGCAGGGAGAGGGGCAGAGGGAGAGGGATAAGCAGACTCCCCACTGAGCAGGGAGGCCAATGCTGGACTCGATACCAGGACCCTGAGATCATGACCTGAGCCAAAGTCAGACTTAACCAACTGAGGCATCCAGGTTACTGAATGTAACTGAAAGTTATTGCATGCCAGGATTATCATGCCTGCTTATGTGGTTAGTTTTAGTAACTCACATTTGAAGAGTACTTTGCTAACAAACTACTTTTATTTGGATTAATGCACTTAATCTTTACCAAAGTCATTGGCTAATGGCAGACAAATACTTAGCCTAGTTTTGCAGAGGAGGGAATGGGAATGAGTCTGGCTGAGTGACTTAATACAGCTGTACTGCTGATCAGTGGCTGAACTGAAATGCAGTCAAGTCTTCTGACTCCCTGACTCCCAAGTCTAATCTTACCATGAGTGTTCACAGCAGGAGCTTGCCTGCCCGTGGTCTCCTCAGAGACCATGAATTTATATTCCCTTTTGCTTAGCAAATGGTGGCTTGTGGCCAGATGGCCCAAGTGGGGAGTTCTTCTTCCTATTGGGAGAGTGGGAATTGAGAAGCCACTGCAGTGGTTGCAGTTACTCCAAAGCCCTTTCTGTGTTTGTCCTCCCAACAGAAGCAGGGAGCATCCTGATCTGCAGCTGTGGTGTCAGCCTTGGAAACAGCACTCAGGGGAGGGGAGATCTCATTTGAAACACATCCACGTCACTGAAGCCAAGAGCAAAGAGGAAGTCCTGAGCTATAGAACTTTGAATGGGGCAGTGGAGAAGCCCTTGCCCCTCCCCATACCCCGGTCTGTGGAGGAGTCCTATATCACTAGCGAGCATTGTTATCAGAAGCCCCGTGCCTATTACCCTGCTGTGGAGCAGAAGCTGGTGGTGGAGACTCGGGGCTCTGCCCTCGACGATGCAGTCAACCCCCTCCATGAGAATGGTGATGATTCTCTCTCTCCACGTCTGGGCTGGCCTCTAGACCAAGACAGGAGTAGGGGGGACAGTGACTCCAAATCTAGCTCCCTAAAGGTATGTGGCTCACTTGTACTTGTTCTTAATTTAGTATTTGAGTGCTTGAGCTCCAATTGTAGGGTTCTGTGGAAGATGTTTTTTTTTTGTTTTTTTTTTTTAAGATTTTATTTATTCATGAGAGACATAGAGAGAAAGAGAGGCAGAGACATAGGCAGAGGGAGAAGCAGACTCCATGCAGGGAACCTGATGCAGGACTCGATTCCAGGTCTCCAGGATTATGCCCTGGGCCAAAGGCAGCGCTAAACTGATGAGCCATCCGGGCTGCCCTGAAAGATGCTTTTTGTAAAATTGTATTTAAATTTTCTTATCATAGGTGTTTTCTGGTCAGTTTAAATGGTTGTAAAGTCAGGAGAGCCCAATTAAACCAGAGATCACAGGTTCCAGGAAATGCCCACAAAATGACATAGTCACTAGGGGTGGGAGGTGGAGAGGTGGGAAGAATTGAGAAGGATAGCGTTGACACTTGATAAATGGAAGTTAGGTAGGAAAATTGTTTTTTTTCTTTAATGGCGTTTATGTTGTAATTGTACCTAGCTGCTAAGTCTTAGCATGAGCAAAGAATGAGTCAAATGTTTTGTTAGGCATAAGGTTTTCAGTACAATTGTATGATAGCTTTACTTTGGCTTTTAACTTTGTAGCCCTGACATAAAAACAGTCCATTTCGTCAGAATATTTACTGGTTTCATCAGCTTGCCCAAGAAAAACTCAGTTTTTCATTACTCGAACCATGCTCTTCTAGAGCCTCTTTGTGTCATTTTCCTGCCAATGTTGTCATCTTTAACTGTTCACTTATGCCCTTCTGTCCTGTCCTAAGTTGGTCAGTGAGGCTTTGTGTAAGTGGAGAGCTTCTCCACCATCATCATCCTTACTTTTAAATTTTCTTTTAAATTTTACCCTGTGGCTGGCATCATCAGCATTAGATATGTTACTGCATGTTGCCAAGTGGGACATCCTAGATGATAAGCCACTCACGGGTGGGCACTGTACCTCTTTCAGCCTGTCCCCTTGCCAGTGCTGGTCATGGTTGGTGAGGTTGGTCTTTGGAGACAGACCCAGTGTCATGTCTGGGCTTAGCCATTTACTGTGTGATGCTGAGCAGGTCAGCATCCTTAGATGTGTCTCTTCACCTATCTGTGGGAGGGGCCAGTGCCCATCCCTCTAGTTACTGTGCAGTGTGTCTGCGAAAAACTGTCAGTACAGAGCTTTGCACAGTCAGCTCTAATAAATATTAGTTCAACTTTTTCATTTCGAATGAATGAATGAAAGGTTGAGATCACAAACGGTAGAAACCATTTGTGATCGTAAAACTAGGCAGATTTCCTAAAGACATCTGCCACGTAATAAAAAGTCAGAAAATACGAGGCCTAAACAAGGCAGCTAGGATTAAAAATATCTTTCATTCATGGCAAGCTGACCATAGGCCAGCATGGTGTTTTATAAACCTTATATATTTCATTCTCATGAACCTAAAATTTGGGTTTCACTACTTGTATCTTTCCCATAAGAGAACAGAGGCTCAGAGAGGAAAAATAACTAATCTAGGCTCACACATTCAGCAAGACAAGAAGCTAGGACTTAAAACTAGTTTGTCTGAGTCCTGCTAAGTAACATACTAACTCCTGTCTGCACCCATCCTGTTCTACTCTGATCTCAGGGCTCTAGAAGCCATTCTGTGAGGCCTATTTTGGGTCTGGAGCATTGGGCCAGTCACTAGGAAGCAGTTGTGAGGCCTCTTGATGCCCTGAGGTGTTTGTGATTGCTACCCCAGGCATACTTCTGCCTGGTGTCCAAGACAGGAGAGGGAGATAGATAGAGGTTTGGAATATTCAGACTGCAACTGGTTTTTCAGATGATTGCAAACACTGGCTAATTGGAGAATGGGCTGGGAGCAGTCTCCACACAGTAATTTAAATACCATTCCATTCCTAGGTGAGAGAATATGTCTCCAAAAAGGTCCTACCCGAGGAAGCCCCTACTCGGAAGCTGCTGGACAGAGGCGGAGAGGGGCTGCTGAGCTCCCAGCATCAGTGGCAGTTTAACCTGCTGACCCATGTGGAATCCCTTCAGGACGAAGTCACGCATCGGATGGACTCCATTGAGAAGGAGCTGGATGGTAGGGCTGCATCTCTGGCTCTCCCACAGATGCTGCATTCTTGCCTCTTTTTTTTTTTTCAGCCTCCTCCACCCGCATCTGCCCCCTCAGGCACCTAAGGTCTGTGTGATTTCAGGAGTCCTTCACTTATCTAGTGCCTTCTGCAAAACAGAGTGCAAAAGTGTAACTAGACTCTGCCTACAGGCTGTGTGCAACCTGAGCAAATCTTTGCCAGTGGAGTTCCATGGGGGATTTCAGCTTGGACTTAATATTGTTTTGGATGTCTTTGAGGATTAATCTGTAGAAACCTTTTATTTTGGCCTTTCATAAAATCTAAACTGAAGCCTTCTCTTCTTTATCAGTAGAGATTTAAGAACTTGACTGAGTCATTTGGGTAACCCTGGGTATTTCTCCCAGGTGTTAGTGGTAATAGATGGGCCTGATGATCATGCTCAAGTTTAGTCTTTTTTGATCCCTAGGAAGTTGCCAGCTTGTTTTTGTTTGTTTGTTTGTTTGTTTGTTTTTTAAATATTTTATTTATTTATTCATGAGAGAAAGGCAGAGACATAGGCAGAGGGAGAAGCAGGCCCCCTGCAGAGAGCCCGATGTGGGACTTGATCCCAGGACCCCAGGATCACACCCTGAGCAAAAGGCAGATGCTCAATCACTGAGCCACCTAGGCATCCCGACTCCAGCTTGGTTTTTGAAGACAGAATTCCTTGATTGTTCACTTATTTCTTATTTTTTGTTTTCATTCTTAAAATGGAGCCAAATTGAAAAGTAAATATTCCATTTGAGGATCTGAGTATAGTCAGGCTACCACTCCTCTAATTGAGGATATAAAATTACTTATAGGATGCCTGGGTAACTCAGTGGTTGACCATCTGCCTTCAGCTCAGGGCGTGATCCCAGTCCAGGGATAGAGTCTCACATCGGGCTCCCCGGGGAGCCTACTTCTCCCTCTGCCTATGTCTCTGTCTCATGAATTAAAAAACCAACCAACAAACTACTTGCATGAAATAACTCAGAAAGATGCCATACGTTATATAGGCTAGAGTCATGAGGTGTGGCCATAGCACATGCATGGCCAAGGCCCTGCCAAAGGTGAAGTATGGCAAGGGAAACAGTAACAGGAAGGCTTCCTGAAACTTCTGGGTCTGAAGCCGAGCCTTGAGGAGATTGAGGTTTTCTGTGGGAGAGGGGGTGACTCAGTGGGTGATAAGAGGACTAGCCTGACTGGGAAAGGGTTGTCCTGTGGGAGGAAAATAAGAGAAGGACCTCCATGCTTCTGTCCTGCCGCTGAGGCAAATCTGAGGAACAAGGAATGGGAGACTAATTCAGAGTCCATTCTGAGGGCACTTCTGGAAGAGGGGTGTTTCTGTCTCTTGTACTCCTAAAAGGCTTCCTTGGGCTCCTTAGGATGCTAACTGATGCCACTATCTGAAAACCCTGCTATTCTCTAGCTGAAAGAGGATTGAGTCCCAGACTGGAAATTATGGATTTTGAGAGAATGGCAGTAGGAGTA